TATTTGATGAGCCAAACGTCTTTACAATTCGAAAGGTTAGTTAAGGAGTTTGGTGAATTTTATCAGAACTTGAAATTTAATGCATGTTTTTTACCTTGTAATAACATGAGATAGTTGAGCCTACTAGGGTGCTAAAATATAGAGGTCCGAGCCACGACAGTGGGAAAATCTTACATCCGTGTTTTGTGTTCTAGACGGTTCATAATTCCTAAGTCCTTAAAATCAATCAATCTTTATTGTTGTATGATTCTCTGCAAAATACCTAAGTCCTAACGTCTTTCTCTCATTGATTTTCGTTGCTATTTATATTCATTGCTTGCTTACTTTTTTAATCACAAAAAACGACAAACATATCTTATTCTAGCGTAGTTTTATTCATTACAATTTGAAGTGTGGTTAAGAAGTCCTCGTGGATTCTATCCCTTATCTATACTAACTGTGATTGTTGTGCACTTGCAGGAAATCTAGTTGAGTGGTAAAACTCGACTCACATCAAAGACCAACTATCACGAGAGCCGGCTCGACTCCTACACCTACTCTTGATACAATAGGTGGTGGACTATTACCTCCACCTCAACCGCGAACATGTGACCCGATATCACTGCAGTCTGTGAATTAGTCAGATTTAGCACTGTAGCAAATCGGGCCCCACCAGTTTAAATTGATACAGCAGATATTCGAAGCATCCTGAGCTCTTTGGTGGATATTACAAGGAGGCAGGAAAGTTTAACTCGCAGTATCGCTGCTCACATGGATCAACATCGAGCTAATTTTGCTTCGCAAATATCAGAGCTGAATAGATCGAACGGACAACGGACTGACGACGAGGCAGGACTTTATAGAACACCATTTATGGCACGCAGCCCACCTCCTCGGACTGCCCTAGATTTCTTGATTGTCCACGTATCTCAGGGGACCACTCTATGGAAGCAATATAGAAAAGACTAGAAAAGAAAGTTAGGTACGGATCGCGCCTTACTTCAACCGTGAACCTTCTCTACCGCGGGGCTGGGCTGCTGAGTTCCTTCTCAAGCTTCTCCGATTCTTCCTTCCTGAGCGTTTCCCTTTGGCTCTAGAAGAGAATAATGATTTTGGTGTGTAAAATATGAGCTCTCTAGCTCCCTATTTATACCCACAAAAATCCCCTAGAGAATATTCACTTTTCTTATTTTTCTCCACCTCTTTACTATACGGGCCAAGCCCATTAGACTTCCCCTTCTTCACCACATTTTTCCCTTCTTCCTTAAGGGAAAAATTAGGGTTTCCTTCCCCTTTTAATTGTAGGAGGCCTGTTTACCTTTTCGCGGGCCGGTCCATAGGTTTCCATTGCCTAAAGACCATTTTCTCCGTCCTAAGCATATTCTCTAAATCGCTGTAAACTATTCTAAGTCCCTAAAAATCCTATACCTGGTCGTGGGATGTTACTCCCGTCCTTGAAATGGATCCATCCTCGGATCTCGAGGCGTGTAGCTGTGTTGAGGAGTTTCCGTTATCCTTGCTGGTCTGCACGGTTTGAGGGTGGAAAGGAGGGGAAAAGGTGGGCGGTGCTGGCATTGAATCATCAAGCCGAAAGAAAAAAAACAGGAAGGCATGATGAACCAAACACCATATGTTAATTTAAGACCAAGGGCCACCATCCTTGGGAACTAAAGTTAATGAAAAGAGGAATACTGAAACAACACCATGAGAGTTCGAAAAAAATGAAAGGGGTGGCTAGGGGTTTTGGGGTTGTGCTCCTACTGCTCGTGTTCTCCCAGCACATGGACTCGAGGATACACTTCATGCCACTTAGGTGGGGGTCGTAGCATCCTCTGTCCTGTCGGGTTATCCGCAGGGTTGACAGGTGCCTTGTCAGGACATTCCTAGGCAATGTGCCCAAGCTTCCCACAGCGGAAGCATACCACTCCCGTCTCTTGGAGTTGTGGGCATGCCGGGGTGAGGTGACCGGATTGTCCGCAGCGGGTACATCGACCTGTTCGGCATGCACCGAAATGATTCCTTCCGCATGCTGCACAAGGAGGGTACCGGTTCCCAGGTTTCTCATCAGCCTTGCGCTTTCTGGTGTCTGATTCCTTGCTCTTGGTTGCTCGATGCTGCT